TTTAACTTCCTCAAAACTGCTCTGACCTGGAGCAGTCCATGTGAAGGTGTCCCTGTCAGTGGCACACTCACGCAATAGGGCCACAACAGCTGCAAAGACACTTAAGAGTACCAGGAGACCAGGCCAGAAAAGATGTCAGTGTAGCAGTATCAGATGGGGAGGGGCTTTCAAGACTGCATCAATGAGTTCTTGGTCAGGAAGGATGCCATCTGCAGTGATGGTATGAAGTGGAGGAATGATATTTATTGCCAGTAAGCACTAGTCCTGCCTCTTTTAGTTTCTCCAGGACAGTATTGAGATTCTGATCATGTTTTTCTGTAGACAATGAAGTCATCCACATAGTTCTCTGAAGATCTTCGAGAACTAGACGAACTAGAGAACGAGACCTGGAAGGTCTTTGAGAATGTCAGCCATCATCTTCTGGAAGGCTGAAGGGGCAGATGCAAGTCAGTTCAAGTTCACTGACAAGAGAAGTAGGTGTACTTGCATTAATTCTGCATAGTAATTTCTTTGGCACTTGACATAGCTCCCTCAAGCATAGCACAGTCACATTAGGTAACTGTACCTCATGTACATCTCTGGTCATGGAGGAACGGCAAACACAAGTGAAATGTCCAACTTTATGGCAAGACTTGCACACACTGCCTTGGCTGCAGGGCACTGTGGAAAATTAGCCAGATGTTTGTATGAGCCACATCTGAAACAGCCATGTGTAGACGGAGCAGTGGCAATGAGAGGTTTATTGGGGCTAGTGTTCTGTTTGTATTTCCGTTTAGAAATGTCTGAAGGGGGCTGTACAGCTTGCACTAAAGTGCTGTTACCTGCTGTTATTGTTTATGCTTACTGCGCAGATTCCACTTTGGCTGCAACTGTAATTGCTCTATCAGGTCTCAAATTAGGTTCAAATCAAAAAAAATTTATTTATATAGCACTTTAAAAACAACATCCAGTTGGCCAAAGTACTTTACATAGGCAGAATAAAATCACAATAAATAACTAAAATAAAATAAATAGGTTCAGTGCAAAAATAAAACACTAACTCAGACGCACAGATGACACACATTCAATAAATTAAATTAAAAGGAATGCATCAGGCCCTACTGTGTATTAAAAACCAAGGCAAATAAATATGTTTTAAGCAAGGATTTAAAAGTAGTCAGGTCAGTAGTTGACCTAGCATTAAAAGGTAGACTATTCCACAATTTAGGGGCTGCAACAGTAAAAGCAGGTCACCCCCAGTGTTTATATCTGGCCATAGGAACCTCTAAAAAAAACTGGCTTGAAGATCTGAGGGACCTTGTAGGTTTGTGCCAGTGCACTAATTCAGTGAGGTATGATGGAGCCAAACCATTAAGAGCCTTAAAAACAAAAATCAATAACTTAACATCAATTCTAAAACGGACTGGAAGCCAGTACCGGGGATATATGCTCCAATTTTCAAGTACTTATCAGAAGACGAGCAGCAGCGTTTTGAACCATCAGGAGACGAGAGAGGGAGGACTGGTTAACACCATAGTATAGAGCACTGTAATACTGTAATAGTCAAGGTGGGAAGTGATAAAAGCATGGATTGCAATCTCAAAATCATTAAAAGAAAGGAATGACTTGACTTTACTTAACAACCTGAGGTGGAAAAAGCTATTTTTCACAACTGGGTTGATTTGCTTGTCAAACCTTAACTCACAATCAAACCTCACCCCTAGGCTTTTTACAGTAGACTTCAGATGATGAGCCAGGGGGCCCAGACCCTGGTCAAAAGAAGTTAAGTTCACCAAGTCTCCAAAAAGCACACAGTTATATTTTCATAAAAATTTAAATAGTTAGGTGCCAGCCATCATTTCATGTCTTTCAGACAGTCAAACCGTGGCTGTAATGACATCCGTCTTGTTGCTTTCAATGGTAAATACAGTACATCTGAATGTCATCTGCATAACAGTGACAAGAAAAGCCATATTTCCTTAAGACAGATCCGAATGGAAGCATGTACAACAAGAACAGAATGGGACCAAGCACAGATCCTTGGGGGACACCACAGGAAAGGATTGTTGAAGAGGATGAACAGGAACCAATAACAGTAAAAGGTCTGTTGGTTAGACAAGATCTCAACCAATTAAGAACAGTACCTTGAATTCCTGTATGCTGTTCCAAGCAAAATAAGAGGATTCCATGATCCAATGTATGGAAGGCAGCAGTGAGATCTAAAAGCACCAATAAAACCGAATCCCTGGTGTCCCTAGCCAACAGGATATCATTACTGATTTTTAATAATGCCGACTCAGTACTATGTTTTGATTTAAAACCAGATTGAAATTGCTCCTCAATGTTATTACCTGCCAGAAAAGATTGGAGTTGGATAAAAACAATTTTCTCCAGAACTTTAGACATAACAGGTAATTTAGAAACTGGTCTAAAATTAGAAAACACTGAAGGATCAAGATTAGGCTTTTTGAGAAGAGGCTAGACAATGAAAGCCTCTGGCACTGAACCTGTACTTAGACATAAATTAAATAAATTAATTAGAGCCATAAAGCTAGGCCCAAATGACTCAAAAACATCCTCACTCTAGTAGGCAAGCAATCCAAAGAACAGTGAGATGCTTTCATGTGGTGAACCAGTTCAGATTGCATAGGCAAAGATATAGACTGAAACTGATCAAAGATAGCAGAATGGAGAAGAATATCAGCTGGGTTAGGATTAGTAGAACTGGAACACTGCCTAATGCTAGTAATTTTATCAATAAAATATTGAAGAACACCCTCACATACTGCTACAGATGCCTCGGGATGAGAAGCAAGGTTACACGGGTTGATAACAGAATTAATTGTACTGAACAAAACCTGAGGTTTATGATGATTACTGACCACAATGTTGGAAAGACAGTTCGGTTTGGCAAATTTCACAGCCTTCACGTTCACGCAAAAGTCTTTCTCTAATACTGGGGTTGGCAACATGTTGGATTAGCTGGTCACGGATCATTTCATCAATTTTATCATCAAATCCGACTTTGGAGGCAAGATCTAGTAATGCAGTTATATACTGTGCAACAGTCTCATGCGGTGCCTGTATTCACTTCCTAAAAGCATGCCGTTCTACAACAAGGTAACGTAAGCAAATTCTCGCTTCTTCCCTACCCTCCATCGCATTATCTTACAATAATGCCACCTAGTGGTGTACAATAGCATCTAGGTTACAAGAAACCAGGGAGGTCAAATGGACCTGTGAAAACAAAATGGTCTATACAAAGGAGTTTATTCTAGAAGTTTGAGATGGATGTTAAGATGGGTGTGGAAAGGAAGACAACTAAATGACAATATAAGGAACAAAGAGGGTAAAGGAAGGAAAAAGGAAGCTCAACATTTGTTTTTACTATAATAAGCTATATTCATCAGGAACAACTGCTACATTGTGCTTCAAAGCATTATTTTAATGAGCAACATTTTACTTTTCTTCATTAAAAATCCATCCGAGCAGGTGGTGAAGTTGCCTACAGGGTGTAGGATCTGTCCAGGGTACTGAAAACGCATGCAAGTAGATTTCAAAAGACACTACATTTCTTGTGAAAGGTTTTACAAACAGCAGAAAAAAAGCCCCTGTGCACGCTGCGTCTTTGAAAGAACACAATCCTCCTGCACGCCCAGAGAAATATGAATGAAAAATAAAGGTCTAGAGCTACTGTATTCTACAACTCAGTAGTTCTGAGCCTTTACAGCAGCACCGACATGGGATATGGTCTACTCAATTACTGTGGTGACCTTCAGCTTGGCGCGGCTGTTCTTATCGTGCAATCTCCACCAGTTGGCATTACACCACAATTAAAATGCGTGTTCAAAGCGACCTGTCACCGCGGCTGTTTGCCGTGCTGCTTGGCACCCTGTAGTGGAGAGGGTGACATCTATGACTCCTCGCCAAGGGAGCCCGGTAGACGCACCTAACTGTAGTTATTCTTTCAGTTCTGCTTTCAAAATTCACCGAATAATTACACCACCAACTCCGGCCAGGGGAGTTTTCTCTCTTCCCTTTTCCTGTTTGCAAGCGCAGTTTCAATCCGCTACATTCTTAGATGAAAGGTAAGATCTTTTTCTTTTTTTTTCCCGAAAGCATAGCCTCCCGAAGCGGTGCTCTGGTGGTAATAATCTGTGTCTATGACTTGAGGCGGTAATCGGCGTGTGGGCAAACAACCAAATTAAATTAGCGATATTTTCAGAAGGATGTTTTTTCCTCGGCGATCCTTTCTCGCAACTTGCATTCTAATTGTGTTGGACGGTGAATATCTGCCCTGAGGACTCGCTTCTGTCAAGTTTCGGTGGGTTTCCTCTCCACATGCATCCCTGTCCTTTTTATAGCTCCTGAAATGTGATAATAAAAACTCAGCGAGTTTACTTACAGGTCAGAATTGCAGGGCGTTAGACTGCACGTTACATGTAGTGCCGTGTGCCTTATTACACGTGAACAATGTCGTTACTATTTTTACATGCAGTATTTGTGACAATTGTTTTTTTTTTTGCCAAATGACATCAGTGCCTTAAGGCTCGCAGCTGCCTGAGCTCAGAGACCTGGACGCTGCTGTATTAAGCGATACAGCCCACTGCTGAGTAATTATCGAGTAACTTCTAATAGAATACTCAACTTTACTGCCTCCGCTAATGTGATTTTCTTTTGTGATTCGATATTAAGAGTTGAGAATTAGCCTATAAAAAGGGGAAAATGCATCTTCCGTTATTTTTTAAAGCACCACTTCAAGATATAGGCTAAGCACTTTCTTTGTTTAATTCCAGAGTACAGGTGCATTTCAAAAACATTAGCCCCAGTAGGGGGTTAAAAACGATACGATACGAAGGCTCAACGTCTTAAAATAGTCCAGAATTATTTTGTGCTTCTTATTTTGCACAGCAACACAACTCTAACAACCACGTAAAACAAGGGTTGAAGTTTAAAATTTACCAATCAAGTCAGTATTATCTTTAGGACCCGGCGGAGAGCTTATATGTAACTGGACATAGTAGCTCCATTTGAGGAAGATTGGTTATCTCTCTCCTCCTCTCCCATCCACAACTCGGCGGAGCTGAGAAATCTAACCTAACCAAAGGACTCCCAAGAGCTACTCTCCATCGGGATGTGTTTTAATGCGCGCTGATGGACTTTAATGAATGTGTGACCACTGTGAATCCCCTTAACGATTACTTGATGTATTTGTCGTGCGCCATTCCGATGAATGCTGCGCCAAGAGCAGCGCTGCGTAAAGTCAAACAGCCTGTGTGGACAGCAGTCGATACTCGGCTGCGTTTGTAAAGGCGAAATAACAGATCTGAATGTGGCAGAGTCCCGGACTGCTATTTGGAAGGAAAGGCTGCTTTAGTGAAACGCACAAGTTTAAAGAAAAGTTGGGACAACGTTGTGTTCTCCAAGTGAATGCGCGCTTTCTGCGCATACAACGCTTTTATTTATCCATTTGGTGCGAAATTAGAAGAAATTAGAACGAGACGAACCAGGCAAAGGCGTATGAGAATCTCTCTGCAACTACTCTCGGCTGTAAATAACTTGTTGAATGAGCAGCTCGTCCCAGGAGCGTATTTAAATGTGAGTATTGCTCTAATTTGAGCACTAAGATTGTGCATTTTCCCTTTTGCATACCGTCACTTGTATGATGATGACATTCATGACTAAATGGGCAATAACAGGATAATTGAAGTGGGCTGTTTCATGGGCGGATCGTTAACAGTAATCAGGTCTGAAGTGGGTTAAATGAAAAAGGAATGAGCGGCTGATATAAAGTGTAATAGAATCAGTATCTTGCAGTTTGTGCGTGTTACCATTTTCTCTATTTAAGGAGTTTTACTATGTTGCGGAGACATTTCTCATAGCTAGACATCTGAATTTACATCTAAAGTCGCTGGTGTTTTTAATGTGCCATCATTTCCATCAGTTCTTTAGTAACAGAAATAATGTCACTTTATAACCTGTTGCGCAGCAAGTCAGTAAAGTCAGATCTAGGTGTGCCTCGCCTTTGCGCAAAATGTGACCCACAACATAACGGACAAACCTCTGTCCTGTCAAACTGGTTCGTTCTTTGCATCGCAACTAAAATTGGACATATGACCAGACAAAACCTATAAGTGCTGGACTTTGGTCTTTATTCTGGGATTCTGGTTGCATGAATTTTAAATGTTTGCCACATGCTCCGCATTTTTGCATGTTAGTCGTTCAGGACAAGAACTTTGAATAATACATGGCAGCAGATTTATGTGGCAGCGGGCTCATTGGCTGGCTGGCTGGCTGCTGGGAACCACACCGAGGGGCCCTCACACTGTCATGACATCAACCATGTCCTCTCAGAGAAAAGGCTCTTTGTAGAAAAGCACAGTCTGCTTTTGTCATACTGCAAATAGAAAGCCAGCCAATGTGGCAAGATTTGTAGAGAGGTTAAAGCAGAGGTTAAAGGTGCAGCCCTGGCACTTTAATTGCATGTTTCATGCGCTTATATATTTAGTGCGGCAAGGAGAGACAGAGAAAGACAAAGAAATGATGGTGGGGTTGAAGGAAGAAAGAGCAAGAGTGAGAGACTGAATGAGGGACTAAGGCAGAAGGAACGAAGGAGAGAAAGACAATCAGAAGACAAATGTGCGCCAGTACAGACATGCTTCTGCTTGCCAGTCGATCCCACTGTGACTCATATGGAATGGTTGGTTCTTGGCTTGGAGAACGTTGGAAGCATTAACCCATTTATTGTTGTACTCATCAGCCAGCCACAGAGCATCAGTCTGCTCAAACTGGCTGCAGATCAGAAGTTATTGGTTGGGAGTCAGCAAAATCAATAAACACAATGAGGCAGTATTGTATGTGTGCACATCCAAAATCCTGACCAGGTGTTCGGTACAGAATGGCAAGACAACAAAATGGCAACTGTTACAAGAAAAAAAACACAAAGGGATCATCAGTCTGCCCCGTCAACGCCTCTCTTTTTCTCTTTCTCTCTCTTTTTTTTGTTTTTATATTAAAATCAATAAAAGTGTCACCTTCCACTCAGTGATATCAGTCCAAACAGTTACTGTGGAGCTCCCAATAGGAGCAGATCTGATGTCCTGTATTTCAGGACCACGGACAGCGTCCCTCCACACTGGCCCTGTAAAAGAGCCAAGAGGTGATGGGAGAGCCACGCTCAACGACAGAAAACAAAGCCAAACTTTAGTGGGATTACGTTAAAATGAACTGAATACATCAACCATGGTTTTTAAGAGTCTAGCCAGGAGTTTGTAGCCAATATAAGCCACGGGGCACGGCTGCTTGCTGACTTTTAAAACACTCTGCCATGCTTGAGCTGCCCAAGGGATGGAATGCAAGCGGACACAAGGGGGTGTTTCAGAGACTTCAAAAACAAGCAAAAGAAAAGAGACAGAGAGAACGTGAGAGAGAGAGGGGGAGTGAAAAAGGGAGAGAGAGGTGGGGTGGTCACCCAAAGTTCTAAGCTCTCTCTCCTTGCATACCAAGAGCTGCTCAAATATTGATGACTTTTAATATAGAATCTGACCTCATATTTTTCTCATGGGAAATTATGACATTCCTAGGTTCCTCCTGGCATTTTGAGTGCCACCAAGTATGAGGTAGAGATGCAGATACAGAGAAAGCAAGGGTAGAAAATTATAATTTTGATGTACTGCACAGTGCTGAAATTTTGCTTTGCATACAGAATCTGATGTTATGAGCTTTGTAAAACCACCTTGACCTGGTAACCAGGACGGCACAAACGAAGAATATGAACTGCAATCATTATCGCACAATCACACAATAGATACAGCTTTCATCGTTCAAAAACAAAAGGAAATAAATTGGCTTTCTAAATGTTATCAGTGCACTTATTGTAGCAGAAATTATCCCATCAGCATAATAGAGATTTGAAAAATTTTATATTTTAAGTTTTTTTTTCCCTCCTAACTTTACTGTCACTTTAGTCCTGCTCTGATGTTGAATAATATCTGTCCTCGGAAGTTCACCAAGCTTCCTGACACCTTCCTTTCATCTGTATAGATTTCATTACTGCAGGTGTCCATGAATTAAATCCAATATTCCTGTGGTTAGCTCAATTTGCTGTCCCTTATTAGCTTTGAATGTTCCCTATTAAATAAAAATAAGATAAGCGACCTCCACCACCCTGCTGCTGGTACCTAATTTTACTGTCTTCATAATGAAAGTTAACCTCTGTATTACGAAATAGGGTTTTATCTAGGTGTGTGTGTGTGTGTGTGAGAGAGAGAGAGAGAGAGAGATGAGACTGGTTCATCCTACGACATCTCTGATCAGGAACTGACATTTATATTTATGAAATTTGATACATGCATCCTTATGAAAGAAACAGCTTATTCATCATTCACAGCTCCAGCCACCGGCCATGTTATCAAATTTGTAATTGGCCTCTTTTTTTTAGGAGCCTTGTTGATTGACACAAGCACATTCAAAGAGCCAAACCTCTTGCTTCTCACATTTTTTCTCACCATTTCTTCCCCTCTCCCACTAGAGGTCTGTTAAATGAAGCCTGCCATCCATACATTCTGATATGGTTCACTTTGAAGGGTCTGCTGAGTCTGAATAGCAGCTCAGATAATTTCTCTGACTCAGATGAACATTTTTTTCATTACAGCTGGAATGTATTCAAGCCTGTAGTCATTTTGTAAAGAGGCATTAGGTTAGGAGAACGAAAGAAGTAATTGCTTTAGATGTGGTCAAAACCCATTCAAATTGGCACCATTTTCAGTGGGAGACAAGATGGCTAAGTTAAACTACTCGATATGCACATGTTGCCAGGGAGCACAAAAACCTGCCTGCATGTGTGCACACATACGAAGACACAAGAGTTTCAGTTTTCTGATTTTGATCAAAGTTTTTGTTCTTTCATATACAGTAACAAACTTTTTAAATGCCCTCTTAATTAATTAATTAATTAATTAATTAGCTATGGCTTGACAATTTTCATGATAAAAATGGTCTTTTCTGACACGAATCCAGAAGCATCACTTTTCTCAGAACATTAAAGACACTCCACATGCTTTAAACCCCAGGTTACTTAAAATTTTTATTTCAGCAGTGACTGTCAGTCACTGGGGGGCGGCTGTCGCCTAAAGGGTAGAGAATAAAGCTGCTGACTGGAAAGTTACTGGTTCAGCTGCGTGTATCAGCTGGGGGAATTTGGGTGGAGAAATTGACTGAGTAACACTTTTCCGTTAACAAGTACTGCTGACATGCCCTTGAGCAAGGCATTTAACCTCCAACTGCTTGAGTGGATTCTATGTGACCGTGTGATGGATGTGCCAAACGTTTTTTTAGTCTCAACATGCATTTGAATATCACAGAAATCACGTTGGAGTTTGAGGTTAACTGTATAGGCATTTATTAAAATTGTGCCTTAAGTGGACAAAGGTTAAATTGAAATGTAAGCACATTTTTCTAAACAGCAACTCCTTAGAATGCAAGGTTTTATTTAACTAAGACAAAATTTCAGGCCACCTGAGCACCGCGACACTCAACAGTAGCTTAACTCCCATTTAGAGTGTCATTACTCTGTTGGAGGCAGTTGTATACCTTTTCCTTGCTGCCCTACACACTTTTTACCTGAGACACTGAGACGGTGTGGGTCTCCACTGACTGCTGCCAGGCACCATTACCAGACGAGTTAGGTCATCTGACTGATGGCTTGTGACAGCCCTGAGAAAAGTACAATCCCTCAGATAGACCATTTCTGTCTCCCAATTTTACTTTAATATACCCCAAATGCTTCTGAAGGCATCGGGACAAACGCAACTCCACATTCAGCTATAAAGAAGCAAGAGACGGAAAAAGTAATAACTTAAATGCAGTGACTTGACACATGGAAATAAGCCTTTTTGTATGAAAATCCAATGGAGATTAGGCTTTGCAGAACAAGCTCAATCTGATTGCATACCATGTTTTTGGAAAGGTTATTATTGAGGGATATATATAAACAGTGGAACCTTGTAATGTGCTTGTGTGCATTATGTGTGTGTGGTAGGTGGTAAGATTTACTAGATGTATTTAGTGCCCATGTAGAGCCTATGTTAATACAGTGTGTCAAATGTTTTGTGTTTATAAGACCTGTCTTATTCTCAAAACCATCTTTTTTCTCTGTCCTTTAGGGTGCTGCCTGTGGCAAAAACCACAACTGACAGGAGACCAAACTAAGACATTTGACAGCCACTGACTTATGAGGGGCATCACTCCTCTCTACACATCACATCTGACCATTAGTTGACCCTTCCATCAACGCTCAGCACTTTCGAAGAAGCTCACTTGTTGACACACCTCATCAACCAGGCAGAAGTGGCAGCAATCGAAGACAAAATAACTGAATGGGGGCTCTTCGTTGTCTCAAGCTGCTCGTGCAAAATTAGCACCATGGTGCCACAGTTCCCAAATGCCCCACTGCATTGTTCAAAGCTGCAGTTAATTTAGAAAAATCTCAGTGATATTTCTGTGACAAAGCAGCTGCTGTAGAGACAAAAAAAAGAAGAAGAAAGAAAAAAGTTCTACAGAAATCACACAGAATGAAATCAGTGATGCTTTGGCCCATATTCTTCACTCTGCAAGTTGTAGGCACCAGTGTGGCACATGCCATGCAGCATTACCCGGCAGCCTGGGGACATTATGACGTGTGCAAGTCCCAGATCTATACAGAGGAGGGCCTGGTGTGGGACTACATGGCCTGTCAGCCAGAAGCCACCGACATGACAAAGTACCTGCGAGTGGCCCTCGACCCCCCAAACATCACGTGTGGAGATCCACCAGAAACATACTGTGCTTTGGTGAGTCGTAACCTCGCCCGTCCCCTGATAGAGACAAATGAGGCTGTAGGCAGGATCTCAAAGCATACTGGGTCAGGGATGGAGAGCAGTGCATACACGGCAGTGTGCTGCTGCGGCAGAGATTAATGTACACACAAACTCGTGCATTAAAACACAAGTGCTAACATGCAGCAACACACTCATGAGCTAGACACACAAATGGACACAGACACATATCAGTATCCTCAAATCCTAGAGATGCACAAGGAGGTGTAAGGACAATAGCACAAACACACACGGTGAAAGAGTACTGCCAAGGACACCAAATCATGTACTGTATATGCGAGTGCACATTCAGAAAGACATGGATGAAAAGGCTGAATTGCAGAGAACTGACATACGTTTCTGACCACATCTGACTGGTCTAGCTGCATCAAATGAAAAATGTCATCTTTTTCATAGCACTGATATTTTTCTTTTGAAATATTTCTTCTGAGTAAATGTCCTGTAAATGCTTTGGGGCCACGGAAGGACAATATTTTTGATGCAGGAGAAAAAAAAACTGTTCGTTTTTCATTTTTGCGTTCGGTTGCAAAAACCTTTCTGCCTGCCCTTGGAAAAAAAAATGTTGTTCTCCTGCATGCAATTTCAGAAATTTAATGTTTTTTCCTCCTCCTATTTAGGCGCTTTCATTGTTACACACTGTGCTCTTCTTCTTAGAAAAGAATCCACTGTCAAGTTGTATATATTTAAAAAAGATAGATATATATATATATATAGACAGACATCGATGGAGAAAGGGAGGTAGACAGACAGAGATGGAGAAAGGGAGGGAGAGAACAAAAATATGACACAAAACACATGCAAATGCACACCCTGTTACATGCACAGGTGACGGCAGATACGCACTCAAACCGTACAAGTAACTGCGCACGCGCACGCACACACACAGAGAGAGGAAGGATCAACGTTAACAGTGACAATGTAATAGTACTGGCTCAGTTATTATGCACTCCATGCTCACCACAGTGTTCAGTGTTGTGTTTCATCGGCCCTTATCAACCATTATCAACAGTTCAGCCCCAGGTTGCATTTGTTTAGAATCACACTCAAAGAAAGCAGCAAGAGCCCATAGGCTTTAAAGTGCTTCATTAGGTGTCGTGTATGTGCCTACTGAGAGCTCCTGCAAGTAAATATTTACCAATTAAAATGGGCATCTTTAAAAGGAGAGCTTTTATTCGTGCAACTCCAGATGGCATTGAGACATTTCATGCCACTGTAGAATGAAAAAGGAGTTGGTCTCTAGTCATGTGTGATGTTCTGTGAAGATTTCTATCAAAACAAAGTGTGTGAAACCTTTTTTACTCTGAATATGCAATGTACAATAACAGGGGGAGCAGAAGGAGCCAAATAGAGACAAAGAGAGTGAAAGTGGTTGGAATGTAATGGAGTAAAAAATACAATATTTCTAAAATGTATTGAAGTCAAAGTATGCAGTAGCACAAACTGAAAATACTCAAGTACAAATACCCCGAAATGGTACTTAAGTACAATACTTGAGTGAATGTACTTAGTTACTTTCCACCACTATAAATTTGTAGATAAAATTACTGCTTACAAATTCAGGAACTGTTTTGTTTTACAGTAGAAACAGCAGGCATGGAAGACCCAAGCACAGACACAGTTACTTGAATGAAGAGGCAGACTGGTTTACTTAAAGTCCAAACAAACAAAACAAGGCAAAGATAACAGAAGGTGAAGTCAAATCAGGCAGAGATCGGAGACAGGCTGGCAGGCAAATCCAAACAAATATGCCAGAGGCACAGACAAAAAGACAACACAAGCAGGGGGTCAAAACCAGGCAGACAAAAAACAGGCACAGGTTGGCAAGATAATAGCACACATGGAATCAGTGAACTATGATGATGTGGCAGTGGACAAAGGGAAATAGGCTGGTAGCGGGTTGATGAATGAGACATAGGTGTGCAGATGGGCAGGACAGATGAGGAAGATCGGGAACATCCAGAGACATCTGGCAGCTGGAGAGGAAATGGGAGGAGAAAGGCCGCATTACCCAGGGCTGAGACAACAACTCAGCTGTCTGAGGAGACGGGTCCCTCGCTGGTCACCTCTTACTGAACAATGCTTGCTTTTCCGGTGCTTGTATTGTTTTGTGTAGTTGTAACTATAGTGACAAATTATAGCTAAAAAGCTTTTGCTGTAAACTGGTCAAATTAAATTTAATTATTCACCATTGGTAACAATAGATTAAAGAAGTGCCTTGATGCTGAAAGAGAGCTAACATACAGGAACCAAATAATGTATCTGATCTTCTCGACACTGGTGGACGGTGTGGATATGCTGGTTAGTCCATCACTGGGATAATAACATTTACATGAACAGCTGATACTGCATACCCAGTGTGACTTTGCCATCTTAACAAGGAGAGCAAATTTTTTTTTTTTTGCCACACTTGCAGTGTGGGTCCAGGGAGACATGCATGTTCCCCAGAGAGTCTTACTGACTTTGGTGGTCTTTTCCTTAAGTGCTCTTGTAATAGGTCAAAACTTTCACTTATTATATCCAGTGAAATACAATAGACAAGATGGACTCGCACAAAAGTTTGAAATGAATCCTAGAAACGTCTGTAACCCTTTCACTTTTTTAATCAAGTTATCAAATTAGCTAATTTGTATTTTAGAAATTGGCGTAATCACTGCAGATATTATGGAGGTAGAAAGAATACTGATCTGCATGAACAAGACATAATTGGTCCTTTCCATCTCAATACAGCATTTACACTCTCCACACCTGCAAACCTACGCTAAACCATACTTTGACTTGACTAAAAGGTTTTGTTATGTGACTCCTGAGAGGGCTCTGCATCTGTCAGGATGTCTATCACCTCTGACATGAATATGAGGTCATCATTGTCCGGATTATTAAGAACACAGGCTCCTCCTGCACTCGCTTATATATCTGTTGTGTGTTTGATCTGTTTACATTCTCTGCTGGCACCCAGGCAGACTGACACCAATGACCTTATCCACCAGTGCTTCCTGAGAGTTTGTTGGAGATGAGAGGAGCATGTAAATGAGATCTCTTAGCCATTCGCTGAGTTGCCTGCAGTTGTGAGCCCGGTTTAATCAGTTTTCCCAGGAGTTGGTTTCTCTCATAACGGGTGGTCAAAGAACCCTGGATGGCTCATCCCCCCTCCCTTGCCTTGTGCTTATGATTCCCATCTCTGTCGCTCAAGGGTGTTTTTTTTCCTCCAAACTAAGCTCTGCCAAATATAGTTATGACAGAGTCAGTGCTCACGAAAAGGGCATTAATCATTCAAAAGTGGATATTTTACAGCGTAAGGTTTGAGGTTGTGTGTTTTTTGGATGAAATGGCAAAGCTTCCCTTTAGGGTTTGGTTCTAATTTCAGACCCGTTTTCTCTTGAATGTTTAGGACAAGTGATAAAGCGAGTCCAGCATAAACAGTGTCTAGGCCAGGTGTTCTGCATCAGAGAGTTAGCCCTGTTTTTATTTTTAGCTGCAGACCTTCAGGGGTTCTTTGTTATTAAGGCTGTTCTCCTGTGTTGCACTGTGACATTGTCACTCACTATCATTCCACACTGGATTTGGGTCTTTTTTGACCATATAACAAGCAGCGTGTGAAATAAATGTAGAATTGCATGAATGAAGTTCATACACTAATGGAAGAGGGCAGTCACAATGCTGGATTAATTGATAAATAGTTTTTTGTATTATTTTTATAAAATTTCTCTATTTTTCTTGCGGTAATTCATGTAAGAAAGTAATTTTTAATATTCAGGATTAGTACAAATGATCCAATTATTGAAAAAGCGTAGGTGCGACAATTATGCCATTATTGTACAACACGAGCCCTAATGAACAATAGGCATTAATTCAGAAGAACGCCTGTTGAAAGAAACCTGCATTTAAAACCCTTCTTAATCGTTTTTGATAAGTTTATCAGACACACAAGTGCTTTTAATTACAGTACTTCTCTCACACTGTAAACTACAAGTCAGGTTGGCTTTTCTGGATTTAATGGCAATTCACAAAATGGCAGACCATTACATCGACTTCACAGAGACAGGAGATTTAATTTTCATACAGTTAAGACTTAGACCAAACCATTTGTTGTTGCCAAGTAATAGGCATGGGCATGTTTATCCCACAAAATATAAATAAGTTTTTAGCACATTGTGGATCTTTTTAAGATGTTGTGAAACCAGTCTAAATATGGTGGGTAAATAAACTCTGTTTTGTTAAAAAGACTACCCTATCAACTGTGACTGCCATGGTGCAGCAGTGTTTGGATGAATGCCCTGCTGATTAGAGAACATTTTACCTAGCAGCAAGAAAGGCAGCAGGAAACATCTTAGAGGAAGAAGTTGAGAGACATTCTGTTCTTCCACAACATCTACAGTGATCTGGCTCATGATCTAAATCAACGGATGTGAGCTTCGAGCCAGTTAGTCATCAGCCAGCAAGCTCGAGAGTGTCTGCAGCCATGCTGATTCATCCGCGTCACGTCGGCAAGTGTTTAAACATTTGTGAGACTGATTCAATAACGGCGTTTATTGTAACTAGCCAGAGTCTAGCTGGGTTGATTCTTGTAATTCTTATGAACTTTATTCTATTCTCTCAGAATGGATGAAAGGAGTTGTGGCTGCCAGTTCACCACACAAACCCATGGAGGCTTAGGGAGGAAAGACAAGATGAGAGGTCCCACTAAGCCGCTCGGAGACTGCTACGTTATTGACAGTCAATGCAGCAGACTTATCTTTGCTGGCAATGATGGGAGTCACTGTGAACTTTCAATCTGTGCCTTATATGCTCACATGAACTGACGTAATAGACTTTAGAAAGAGAAACAGATTAGCTAGACTAGAGAAAGGGATGTAACCTTTACTATAGGCTGTGAAGTCATGAACAAAAATAATGAATCTGCAGAATGACCAACGCCTTAACAATCTCCTACTGACTTGCTTTGCTCGTTACTTTTTTGGAGGTAACATAATTGCCTCCTGGATATATTTCACTGGCAAGATTTGTCTCTAATCCTGGACAGTTTTCCCAAGAAGAACAGCAGCACCGGTCATTTCAGCAAGTGACACTAAAAACTGGGCTATACAAACAAGGAATAGGGAGCATCCAAGTTGGCTTTAGTCGGACTTTGAGGTGTGCACAACTAGTGTGAGCACACCCCCATAATTAGGAGCTAAAGACCGAGGAACAGGGAGAGACCAAACCAGAGCTAAAAGAAGAGAAAATATTGGATTTGCTTTGGATAGCCCAAGAATAACTTCCATATAATTGCAACCACCGTCTGCTGAATGTGCAAATAGGCAACTGTTTGCTATTATATCTATTATGTTTGCCTTATCTACTTTATAAGGTGAAAATTTGTCAAAGTTGTGATTACAGCTAATTTCCTATTTGTTCATGACAGATTCTACATCATTAGACGATCCAGGAAATACCTTCAGAAACTGGGAGTGTTATGAAAGGACAGCGCAGGGTTAAAGCCACCGGCGAGTCTCAGTTTTGCACATTAACGGATGCTTGTCTCTGTGACTCGAGTCACGCGCTGAGGCTAGGCAATAGGTTAATGCTACCTATAAAACAGACAGTCAGTAGTTTATACTATTGTGGGGTGTAAATTGAAATTGTGCACATGGATGAATCATAATTTTTCACAGTTTCATAACTAATTTTCACATTTAGTAAAATGCACTTCTGGGGATTGTTAGAATGTATTTTTGAATAACATCTACTGCATATATGTTTTTACACTCAAAGTGTTTATTCTATACAGAATATAGTGCACTCTTTAGTAAGTAGGAATTGATTTTGGAAACATGTCTGTGGCAAACTGGTTTGAGCATCAATGTCATGAACAGAGTCTATGAGATAAGCAAGTAGTTCAGAGGTCAAACCTTTTCTTCTTGGGGGGAAATCCACTCATCCATGTATTTGTTTGGTGACAGGGAACAGTTGGACCATTTAGCTTCCCATCACCCTGGTGCCCTTGACTCTGTTGTGAAATGGCCCTGCCCAGCATATCATCACCGCACCACTGCTTACCATGACACCAAGATGACATGCAACATGTCCCCTGCCTTTTTTGGGGGGAGGGCGCCATCAGTTACTCTTTCACTCACCTGCCATGTCTTTTGTCTTCTGGCTTTTTAATTTCTCTGTGCCTTGTTTTCTGTCATCTGATGATACATAATATCCATGCACTGTTTGAACATGTGGAGGCTAGATGCTCTATACGAGGCAAGCACTTGGCAGATAGAGATGTGTCAGCATTATTACTTGGGATCTGTGACAGGTTAATTCTTAGAGGTTTGTAAATACAAAGACAGATGAATTATGCATGGAGATATAAAAGAAAGTGATGGCATCTGTGCTTTGAGTAGACAGTGTCTTTCTGGACAGCTTAACATTTGAATGCATGTTTTCTGTCTGAAACGGAGCACCTATAACTGTATGCATAAGTGCTTCATTCTTCTCAGATTTTTCTCCAAAGCAGACACGATACTTGAAAAGCTAGTTTTAAATATTTTTTCATAGGTTTAGATAGGACTATTGCTTTCTCAGCACAAATGATAATTGCAGTTTTCCTTTTGTTGCCTGTAAACTCAAATCACAAAAGCATCCGAATCCAGATGAATTCTCTTCCCTGTACAAGCTCCCTATTATCTTTTTTTGAAAACAGACAGCTTTATATACAGTTCTGAAGCCTTAAAACATATTATACAGTTCTGGTATTGTAATTTGCACTCAGCTACATTCTCTGACATATGATGGAGCCAAGCTGCTTGGCATGGCACACTGTCAAACCTCAGTGTTCTTTGATATTATGTTTAATATGATTAAGTGAAAATATGAAATATGTTTCTACTTAACACAGCTGAGGTCAGGACACAAAGATTATTTTTAAGTGATGCAGGGGGGTAGATCCTGCAATAATACCAGAAGACATGGCTATTTCATTATTACATGCGAGCAATATTAAAACCGACAGAATTTAATCTTGTGGGTCTTATGGAAATTCAAAAGCTTGAAGTCACACAGAACCAAGAATGTCCAACTGAACGATGCAAACCGTGTTTTAGCTTTGGTTAACAATCAGATATCTGCAAACCCAAAGACACTTCCCTCAGCCTCAGTGGTTCTTTTTATTTAGTACTAATTAGCACATGTTTAGATACTAAAACCAAAATAGTGAACTTGGTAAACCTTGTACCTGCTATCACTGTCACAAAGATCATGACAGCACAGCTTTGCAGAGCCGCTAGCATGAGTGTAGTCTTCAGCTAAAACAAGTAGTGACACTACGTCACAAAGCAAAGGCCACTCACTAATATTTAAACAGGAGTGAGGTGATTGCTTACATTGTCTAGAAACTATGCTGATAACTACAGTCACTGTTGCAAAGTTACAACAGCAAGTACAGTACATTTACTTAAGTACTGTACTTAAGTACAATTTTGAGGTATCTGTACCTTAACTTGAGTATTTTGATGTGGTGCCACTGCATACTTCACCTACACTACATTTTTAAAGTAAATATTGTATTTTTCACTCCATTACATTTATTTTATAACTTCTAGTTACTTTCCAGAACTACATAAATACAGAAATTACAGCATAATCACAGGACTTTATTGGTCTCTGGTGGAAAATTCACAAGCTACCGAGCAGTAATTCAGATTCTAATCATATATGCTAGTTGAAACTAGCTCCTCTTTACCTGATTAAATATAATAAATGCAATAATGCATTAGAAATTATAATCAAATTGGGTGAAATACATAAATGCTAAATATGCCCTTCTGCATAACGAGTATTGTTACATTTAATACTTCAAGCATGTTTTGATGCAAATACTTTTGTACTTTTACTCAAGTAACATTTTGAGTGAGGAGCTTTTACTTGTACCAGAGTATTTTTACACTATAATAGTGTTAGTTCTTCCACCACTGACTACAGTGATAACGAGACGAGATGCATCAGGGTCCAAGTTCAGCAGCAAACTCATTGATCGATCACATTCTGTTTACATCAGTTAATTAGAGCAGCCTGTTGCAGTACTGGTTGAGGAAAGTAGAGACAAACAGCCTGATGTGTGGGGGGAAAAATTCCACCTGTACTGCAGGTCAAACACTAGGCTGAAGGTAGTTTATTGAACTGAATATTGGAAAATCGAAAAATGTTACAGATTTACAGAGCACAGAATTGCAGATCTGATTTTGCAATGGTATGAAGAGAAGCTGACTGAAAATGCTGAACTCAAACCTCCAGAAATCATATAAACTAGGACAGTTTTTACACAAAAAGTTTGTCTAATCAAGCTTGAGTTTACATTTGAAATGAGCAAAGTGAAAGTGGACCAACTATATCCCTACTTCTCATCTCTTTTCAAATTCAACATCAATAAACTTTACATAAGATATCAAACTGTCTTTGTTCCCTTCAGGTTTGAATTTTAAAGCAGGGCCAAAGACAAATCTCGTTAGCAGGGCCATGCTTGGGGACCCAAATTGCAGGAGATAAGTTGGTATTTTGGAATGATTCAAAGGAAATCCTATTACCTCATGCTATGACTCAGTTTCCTTTCTTTCAGTAGTTCAGCCACATTTAACTAATTTGCTGCAGACTTACATGCCAGTGTATTTTTGCCGCTCCCCTGGCAACAGCATAATACAAGCATGAATGTTTCACTGGTGAATCACTGTGTTTGTCTTACACCTCACTACGTAGAAAACAATTTGTTATTTCAGTGTGTGTGGTACCTGTCGATACCAATGAGACGCTTCTTAGAGAGCTTTCAGTGAAGTAGTCCCAGTGATGATGTTGTGGTGACCCATGGACCTCAGCTAGTTGAAGTTTGAATCCCCCTCAGAGCTTCCCCTGCCTCCTGTTTTGCTGTATCCATATCAGCTCTTCGAACATTTCTATAAAGAAATAAGAGGGTAACTAAACTGTCCACACAATAATTCTAAAAAGATTCATGAAATTTTTTTCACTATTATTCTTGACAAGCTGAACAGAGTTCTTGTAAAAGATACAGTAATTGAATTTCTCAAGAGCTAGTTTGCAGAATGGTTCTCTGTTGCTAGAATGGTTCCCTGTTGGCCGCCCCCCCCCCCAAAAAAAGCTCAACTTGGCTCACCCATCTGCCAGCATTTTTTTTTCTTTCTTTAGCAGAGAAGTGCATGTGCGTGTGAAGGACTTCCCCTCCCTCAAGACGCTGCCTATAATTTTGGCCAGACTGAGGAGTGTCAAGCAATCAAGCAGTACTCATGGGAGAGAAACACATTAAAAGCTTTAACCTCAAAAGTCTGCATTGGTGGGAATACAGCTGTGCAATACAGCCATTTTTAAAAGGCCTCCTGCACCTATTTAATGTAATAACAGCAGGTCGTCTCCTCTTGAATATTATACAAGGGCTCCAAGTAGAATACTATAGGTTAACATAAACCTGCAGTTTAGTGTCCTTGTGTTGTAGTCTAGTGAAACAAATCATTAATTTTGGATTTCTCTCAATGTGCAGCCAAGCAAATAGTGAATCTTTGTATTATTTGGCAACACTTCTTTATTTATGAAACCATGATTTCCATTATATACGACGAATTTAATCCAACATTTTAGGAAATAAATGTACTCGTTCTCATTCCAAAAATAGGATAAGAAGATTAATATCATGCTCATGTCTGTGATTTACACACTGAGGTACAGTCAAAAAGTGGTTATCTTAGCTTAAAAACCGTAAGTAGGAGGAAAAAAAATGTAGCAGTGCTTCTGTGGAGCATTTCTGGCTAAAGAGTGGGCATCTAACTTACCCTAAAATTATTCTTATTTTTGTTGAGAGTTGGATGAGAATATTGATACCACTCTCATGTCAGCGCATTAAGTATGGTGCTGAAAACAGCAGGTAGTTTATCTTAAGACTGGAGGCAAAAGAACACTGGTTAAAATCCAAAGGTTAAAAAAAAAAAACAAAAAAAAAAACTATAAGCCTACTGTACCATCTTAAATGCTCACTGCTTATCACAAATCATTTTGTTTGTTTAATCCATAATCAAAAAGAAATAATAAAACTATAAGTTATGGTTTTATGGGGAGTCACACTCATATTTCTTGACCAGTGACCAGGTTTCCTATTTCCACCTACGCTACATATTTGACATGCAGACATGTTATAAGTGCTATAAATCTTATCTAGCTATTGGCGACAAAGCAAGCATGTTTCAAAAAACTGAACTATACTTTCAGTGATACTGTAAGCCTTACATTTTTCTAAATTATCATTTTCTCATTTCTAACAGGGCTGAGTCAGCCGTTTCCCCCGTTTTCAGTCTTTTTGTCTAGCTAGGCTAAAAGACCTTGTGGCTCCAGCTCCTTAAGGCAAAGATATGAGATTAACATCCATCTGCTTGTCTAACTCTTCATACAAAAGCAAATATGTTCAAAAATCTGGAACTGCTACAACATATCAGCCTTGCATCGTGCTACCTCTAAAATCCCAAAGAATTCAAAATGTTGGCTGTGTTATTTGAAAAGGTCAACTTTTACGGGGCAGTTTTATGCTTTTTCAGAAATCATGAACTGCGTTGAAGGGGCAAGACTTGAAAGAGAGAAACAGTGGTGAGATGACAGGCAACCACTGTGACTACAGTTGCCACCCTCCCTTATAATATGGGCTCGACTGTTATTTTTTCACATTGAAAGTGGCAACTGTAGTTGCAACCCACCTTCCCTTAGGAAACCAAGCCATCATGTTGTCAGCCCATATCGATCTCTGAGAAAGAGTGAAGGAGAATGTGCTGTAGAGAGAGAGGAAGTGAGGGAGGTGAGGATGGAAGTACAGAAGGGAAGAATGTTCATTTCCAAAAGTGGCTGGTGTGATTTTATCATGCTCAGTGAAAGGGTGACATTTCAGTAATGCTTTATTCTCACTTTGGCATTTCAAATTAATAAAAGCCTCTAATAACTATGCAGATTGAAAAGATAGAGGATGAGTTGACACACTAGGAGCTAACACACTGATGAACAATGCAGCAATTTCACTCTCGTGCTCTCTTGTTCTTTTTTCACTCTCTCAATTTCATCCCAGTTTCTATCAATTTCTCTGTGGTGACCTCTGCATCTCATTGTAAATGGCTAAGAATTGAGTCTGTGTCAATTAGAATCCCTTAGTGGCCGATTTTAATATGTTTTAAAGCTGCTCATATGAAACTAGCAAGAGTCAGAATCAATAATGCAATGATTTTAGGACAGTTAATCAGTGTATTGTTGGAGTGGAGAGATACTGGGGTAACAGATTGCACTTTTGTTTTCATTTAAATCATTTCAAACTACATGGCTTAGCAGGAATAATGTAAAGTTGATCAGTTAGAAATTTGTGGTTTGTATAGACAGTTCTATGTGACAAATATGCACTTTCATGTACAATACCTATCTGTTGGTGAGTACTACACAAAAATGTGTGTAAATTTATGGTTATATAAAATAAGTTATGTTGCACAACTATGCAGGTATCTTTTCTAACAACAGTTTATCCACATAGTGCCTCTGTATTGCAACGCCTTTGGTTACTTAGCAACCCGACTGAAACTACCGTCTGCTAAAAATGTTTTTAAACATGTAACTACCCCTAGAACCACAAAGTTTATCTTTACATTGCTGCATGTGTAGGAACTAAACATATGGTTTATATTTTAGTGCTGTTGGTAGGCAATTTTTATTTTATTTTATTTTTATTTTGGAGAGAGCTAAGCAATCTGTTTTCCCACTGCTTCCAGTCTTTATGCTACGCTAAACTGACGGCCTCTTGGCTCTAGCTTTGTAATTAATGCACAGATGTGAAATTGATGCCCAAAGCAAGCATATTTTTAAAAAATGTTGAACTATTGCCTTAATGTTGAGGGAACAGAGAAAACCAGAGCATCCAAAATGCAGGGAGCAGGGTCAAACTAGTAGTCATTACACTGCCAAGCTTTTAGCA